TCCTGGCTCCACCCCTGGATATTTGAACGATTGAAAGTATCTTGAGAAGAACAACTTTAAGTTCTTAGTCTATAGTCTCTATAATTGTTTTATGTTTGTGATATTGTAAATTATTATTTAACTCGGTGCAAATTACTTCTACACAGAAAATTATACGTCTGTAGTTCCATTGTATTTTGTGTAATGGTTTTATTGTTAGAAGGTACTCTACTTTTTCAAGGATGCTCTAGCGGCTGCCTTGTTCTTAAACATGCTGTACAATACTTCTTTTCCTCGGTATTCTAGAGCAAAACAAGCCAATATTTAAGCATACCCCCATGCTTCCACTTCCACTATTTTCGTGGCTGCGATTACAATTTCTTATTACTATACAAATTGAAGTATTTATGCATATATTGCATACTTTCTGTATTTATCTCTTATTACTAAACACTTTGGATGAAGTGTCTTGAATTTCTGTTGGAAAAAAACACATGTTTGCATTTTGCGTATATTGGCTTGAACTAGCAGAGTGGTGTAGTATGTTCTCCATGTCAAGTGTAATAGTGCTGTGTACACGGCTGTGTAGTTATTCCCTTCTGTGGGGTATATGTACATATGTACCTTGTATATATCTGGCCTGTTTGGCCCATAGCAATACTAAGGTCCATTTCATCACACTCTAACATGATATCAGACAGGATAGGGTTTCCCAGCTGCCACCCCTGGGTTGCTGTATGGCCGCCGGCATCAAGCTGTCCTAGGTGTGGCCTGCCCCTCCCCTTCTCGATCTCCATCCAGGACCCCTCCTATCGACTCTTCTCAGCCAGGCCCTCAGCAGATCTCTGCCACTGAGCAGGAGATTATTGCTTTGTTTCGTCGACTGGTTGCCTCTGCCTCGTCCTCGCCATACGGTTCTGCTTCTAGTGCTTGTGGTTCCGCACCACCACCACCTCCTGGTATATCATCTCCATGGTTTCTCGACTGGTGCTTCCTTTCACATGACACCGGACTCTTCATGTCTCACTGGACTCAGCCCTCCTGATGCACGTCTCCGTGTTCACACAGCCGATGGCACCTCACTTACTCTTTCTACTTAGTCTTTAATGTTCCCACTGTGTCTCATGTTCCCAAATTGACTATGCAGCTTATGCCAGCCGGTCAAATCGTTGATCATGATTGTCATATTATTCCTGAATCTGACTCTTGTGCTCAGGATCGATGTGTTAAAGTATATGTGGATTGTACTAGCCCTTTCCATCAGTTCGGACTTTTGGTTGTGTTGGCTAGTGCATGAGGCTTAACATGGTATCGGAGCTAAGGTCTTGAGTTCAAGTCCTGGTTTGCGCAATTTATTTAAAAATTGCTGATAGCCCCCCTTTGTGTCCACGTAGAGGCCTCTTGAGTCATACGTGAGTTTCGCGCGCCGTCGCTCTCTTCCGGTTGCACGTGTTGACTTGTCTTCCCCGTCACACGTGAGAGGGGGTGTTACAGTATATGTGGATTGTACTAGCCCTTTCCATCAGTTCGGACTTTTGGTTGCATTGGCTAGTGCATGAAGCTTAACACGATGCACAGGGCTTCTGGTGGGGACTGGTCCTTAGGCGACGTGACTCTCGGGGCCTATGGGAACTTGATTGGTTGGTGCTGCAAAGGCGGCGTGCCGAGCCACCATGGCTGCCGCGAGCGGGTGCTACAGTTCGGCGTCGACGTTGCAAGCAACTACGCCGTCGGTGCTGCAACGGCGGGGCGGGCTGCTGCGAGCAAGCACTGTAGGCTGGTGTCGATGCTGCAAGCTGGTGATGCTGTGACGGTGGACGAATAAGTTACGACGGCAGGATGTTGTGAGGTCAGCGGCGGTGTACGGCGAGGGGAGCGCCCGTGCTGGGTGGGAGATTCCCTGAGATGTTGTGAGGCCGCTCGCCGGAAGCATCTGATGCTGCGAGGCCGCTCGCCAGAAACATCTCATGCTGCAAGGACGCTTGCTGGCGGGAGCGCCGGTCCTAAGAAGAGACAGCTGTATGCTGCGAGGCCTCTCGCTGGAAGCATTGGATGCTGCGAGGTAGCTTGCTGGAGGAAGCGCCGGTGCTGCGAGGTGAGTACCAGATGTTGCATGACATGCTTCAACGGCCACTTCGACGAGGCATGCTGCGACGGCGTTGACGACCGTGGCGATGCTGCTACTGCAATGACCATCGGGATGCTGCGACGTCGACCGCCAAGGCGGTCATGTTCGTGTGACGATGTTGTGGGGCGACTGCGACGGTGGTCGGCGACGTGCTGAGCGATGGTACGATGGACGGCAACCGAGCGACGATGCTGTTGGGGAGTGGACAGAAGTGCTACTACGATGCTGGTCGGCCAGCAAAGCGTGAAGGTAATGCTGCGACGGCCACAGCGATGTTTGTATTGCAGCATCCGGAGGTCGCCCTTTCGGCGAGGACGATGTGTCCGACGTTGCCGCGGTGATGCTGGTGATATGACGGATGTTGGCTTGCGATAGGGAGGAAAAAAGCTAACAGCCCTGCTACGTGCATCACGTGTTGCGACTGTGATAGAGAGTACTAAGAGAAAGCTCGTTGTCGCTTCATCCGGTTGCTTGGGACGTCCAGATCGGATGGTTGGGGAGGCGGCTGTTAACTGGCGTTTTACAGCTGGATGGCGCCTAGCAGGCCCCCTTCTTTTGTCCACATCTCTCATGTTGTCTGCATTTTGAGTCAGTCTGTTTCCGCTCCTACTCAGCTTCACTACTTCCACCTACTTTGGGTTCTACGATATCTTCGTGGCACCTCCTCTCGCCACCTGTTCTTTCCTTGTTCGAGTTCCTTGGAGCTTCAGGCGTATTCTGACGCCACGTGGGCTAGTGATCATGGTGATCGTTGATCCCTTTCAGCCTATTGTGTTTTTCTTGGTTCATCTTTGATTGCCTGGAAGACTAAGAAACAGACAGCGGTTTCCTGTTGGAGTGCTGAGGCTGAGTTGAGGGCTATGGCAGCATTGACAGCTGTGGTCACTTTGTTGCGGTGGCTTCTTGATGATTTTGGGGTTTCTACTACTGCACCGACTCCCCTCTCTTCGGCACCGGCACGATCAGCATTGCTCGTGATCCTGTGAAGCATGAGCTCACCAAGCACATTGGTGTGGATGCTTCTTACATGCGATCGCAGGTGCAAGACCGGATTGTGGTTCTCCAGTTTGTGCCCTCTGAGCTCCAACTAGCAGATTTCTTCATGAAGAACGAACTCGAGCCCACCACAGCTTTTTTCTTTCCAAACTCAGTGTTGTAGACCCACCCTCAGTTTGAGAGAGATAGA